TTAAATGTGCCCTCAAGGCCTAGCTCGAGTGACAAAAGGTGGAGGATTTGTGGCTTAGGTCGCAGGTTCAAGCCCCACACCATGCAAAGCGAAGCCCGGTTTTTAAGTGGAGAAGGGTAGAGGGGTGGGCCCATTATTCACCGAGCTTAAAAGGTTGCGATTGATCCAAAGAGCGGAGGGTCACAAACGGATTCTTGGTTATTAAAACAAAAGTTTAAACACTTAAAATTTAAAACTTTAAGTTATTTCCGTGTGTTTTAGAGCATTTGCAAACTCATAATATATACTTTTGTAACTTATGACGAGTTAAAGAATATCGTAATTTAAAATAATTGGTAAATTCACCATCTATCACATATGTTGTTAATATCTCTTAGTTTTGTTGTAATCTTCTGATTCTTTATATTCAGTTTTCTTTGTATTGTAGCAATCTCTCCTCCTCCTTGTGCATTTAAAGATGATCAATGTAATTCACAAATAACAACTTTTTGCAAAATCCTTCTTCATAACAAATTAAATAATTTATTTCTTTTTCATTTATTAGGTGGGATATTAGCCAAATTGATCTGCTCACTCATTACATGAGAAGCACTTTTAGATCTCTACAACTATTATGAAACAGAGTGGTCAAAGGATGGCATATCTGATGTTATTCAAAAGAGAGAGTATGAATTGAGTGATTTCATCTCGTTCAATTGCATCAAATAAACTTAGCTTTTTTAATTTTACCTAAGTTACAATCATGAAGCGATAAAAATGATTTCATACGCATATTGCGCGTTTGGCCATAGATTTTCCAAATAATGTTTGGGAAAAAATTTGGCAAATAATGTTTGTTCATATAATTTGCCATTATTTGACAAATAATTTTGGTAAATATCCCAAATTTCAAAATACTAGTTTTTTCTAGTATTTGGGTCAAATCTCATTATTTGGGATCTTTTAAAAATTAAAATTTTACCCCAAATTTTTATCTTTTCCAAAAACACCCTTTATAGTAGTTACTTGTGTTTTATTACATCATTTTTTACGTGAACACCAAAGTAATGATTAAATATTCAGTGAATATTAAATGATGATATGGTTGTTGGTGAAAATGATGAAGAATTGGCTAAACGTATTAAAATCATATGTTTTGTCTACTTCATGATGTATGGAATGATGCTTGTTGCACTCACTCCAAACTACCACATTACTATGGTGTCATGGACACTATTTGTTATTGTTGCAACGAACATCTAATTGACTATGATACTTTTTCTTTGTATTTGTAATTTTGTATTAAGAATATGTTTAACTGAAGGGTGTATTTTTTGCTTTAGAAAATGAGACAAATACAATCATAAAAATTAGTGTACAAGGCATGTAAAACAATAAATGCCTACAAGATATTCTAATTTCAAATTATTAATACTTACATTTTTGCATCTTATCATATATTATTATAAGCATGAAGCTCAAAACTTAAAAGTTGAATTACCATTTTGCCCCTCTAATAAATTAAAACTAATATAATTTTTATATATATATATATATATATATATATATATATATATATATATAATCTTCTTATTCTCATTTCATAATCTTGACCTTTCAAATTTGTAACATAAATGTAAAATAAAACAAAAATGAGTAATTATCAAGAAATTAAAGTAGATTCATGTATCTTTAAAATTAAATTTCATCTCTATCTTTTTTATATTTATTTTAACAATAATTCATGTGACTTTTCATGTTTTCATAATTTTGTTCTATAAATTTAACTTTTTTGAGAAGAACTTTTATTTACCACTCCTACAATTCTTGTATGTAGGAACTCTAAACATGTGAAATAATGTCACAATTTGAGGTGAAAGTTGTGAGATTCCCTTATGCAGTTACGAGAATAGATAAGAATTCAATTACTGAAGCATCAGAGCTTGATGTGTTAGTTTTATACTTATTTGTAGTAAGAATTATAATAAGACTTTTTTGTCTTTTCATATAGTTGAATTCTTGTTTTATTAACAAGTTGCTCTAAATTCAAATTTGTATTTTGTATGCTCAAATGTTAAGTTTCACTATAGAGACAAACAAAATGAAATGCCTAATTATCTTGCTCATGTGTACCTTTTTTTTTCTTTTCTCCGTACTTATAATTTTTTACATATACATTAATTTTCATCTTTAAGAATGAATGTGATAAAATAGGATCTTTACTCTTTTCTTTTCTTTTTATGGAAAAAAAAGATAGCTTGATGTGTTAGTTTTATACTTATTTGTAGTAAGAATTATAATAAGACTTTTTTGTCTCTCTTCATATAGTTGAATTCTTGTTTTATTAGCAAGTTGCTCTAAATTCATATTTGTATTTTGTATGCTCAAATGTTCAGTTTTACTATAGAGACAAACAAAATGAAATGCCTAATTATCTTGCTCATGTGTACCTTTTTTTTTCTTTTCTCCGTACTTATAATTTTTTACATATACATTAATTTTCATCTTTAAGAATGAATGTGATAAAATAGGATGTTTACTCTTTTCTTTTCTTTTTATGAAAAAAAAAAGTGAAACATATAATATTAGATTAATGGTGGATAAGTTATATATGATAGAATTTAATTTTATATAAAAATAGTAGTTATTCATAAATATCCTGATTTTTAAAATATAAATGATAAAACTTTTTACATCTTAGTTTTAAATATTTATAGTTAACTAATTAGTTTAAAGTGTTTGTGGATAAAAATTTAATACAATACTTAAAACACATTCATTAATAAAGTTGAAAGGTTTTGTTTTCCTTCACTCAAAGTTAATCTTACACTATCTAGCATTATTCTACCAATAAAACGGAACTATCAAGAAATTTAATTTAGATAGTTGTTATTTTTCCTTTTAGCTTTGCAAACTTATTTTTTTAATTACAAACAAAGTTTAGTTTATTAATTTCTCATATTATTATCTCGATGCATTTACTTGGAGGTCAGAAAATTGGAGTGTCACAATTAGTAGTATAACAAAGTAAGGAATCTCAATTAGATATATTTTATTATTTAGTAATATTATCTTTTAAGAAATAATACACTCATAGGTTAGACGCGCAAAGCGCGTGCTCGGAAACTAGTATTTTAAATATATGTGAAGAATCATTCTTACATGGGCTTGTGGATATAATCTATAGTTTTTAGACAATTTATATTAAAATTATCGTGAAATCCAAATTCCAAAGACAAAAAAAATGATACATCAAAATGCTTAAGAAGTTAGAAGATCTTTTATCTTTGACTAAATATTGCTCCTATTAATTTTTTAACAAAAAAAATGTAAAATATATTTTAACAAACTTTTAATTATAAGAAGATTAATATTGTCATTTTGGCTCTTCACTAAATTAAAATCTCTTTTATTTAACTAAATATTATTTTATTTATATAATTACTTAATTTAAATATCAATCATTGCACTTTAATCTTTAGTTATTTCCTTCTAATAAGTTTCTTATTTATAAATTTGAATTACTTAATTGTATTCTTAATTAAAAGGAGAATTTCATCTTTACTAATTAATGTCAAACATTTTATCTTCTTGAAATGTACATCTCGTGTAACTATAACTTTAATTTCAACAATTTTTACTCTATTCTATGAGACAAGAGAGACATTTTAAGGAAGAATTTCAATAATTTTACTCTATTCAATGAGACAAAAAAGACATTTTAGGGAAGTTAATCATAAGATAGCGTGCCTCCATGTTTGTTTTTGCTACTTTATTTTATCTTTTAAAAACAAATATAAAATTTCTATATCAAAATTATAATAAAGGGAGGACTAAATGGATTCAAGTTATCCATACACTTAAACATTTTTTAAAAGTTAAATCGCGCATTGCCCTTTTATTAATAAGTTTATACACTAAAACGTTTTTCATTTTACTTTTTATATTTTTATTGTTAACTCAAATACTATCTTTTAAAAAATTATGTGTTTTTTAATAGTTCAGATTCATCGTTATGAAGTAAACGTGCAACGGACGTGCCCATATACTAGTATATTATAAAAGATAGGTTGTCTGTTTAAAGTGTCCTGAAGTATTTTTCTCTTTGTCTTCTTCTTCAAATTTGTCCAACAACAATCGATAGTTCATCATTTCTTCTTAGATTTGTTGGATTTTGTGGAAGCTATTGACACTGTCATATGATTCTGCGTTGCTAGTCGCATAGTAAGGTGCGTGGGAACAAAGTCCCTAGTCACTTTTACCATCCCAACTATGTTGTCTTCCATATGTCTTCTATTTTACTTTTGTTGCTTCCACTTCTTCGTTCCCTCGGTGAGATATCTATCTACGTCCCTAGTTACTTTATCAACGCATATTTCTAACATATTATCTTCCTCATCCTCGTTAAAATAATCCTCGCCCAAATCAATAACATAAGCGTTAGTTGGACTAATTAAGTCCTGCTGCTAAGTCGCCTGGAGAATTACCTTGACCACCGGCTGAATTTTTATCTGCAACTAAAGTCCAATTTGTAGCTTCACTATCTTCTACATTGCTGTACTTTTCAGCTTGCAAATCAGTATATTTATCAGTTGTTAGCCGCCCATGTTCTCATTTTCCCCTCCAACAAAATTGGCCTTACACAACTCAGAATTTTTAGCAACTTCACCATCAACCTGTAGCAATTAGTTTCTGCCCTGAATCAGCCTACGCTAAGTCCTTCCAGTTTTATTGCTTCTTCTCGACTAGTTGTGTGACATCCATGTTGATATCGACAGGCTGGTTCACACCATGATACATGATTCATATTATGTAACACATAGGCAATGAACACAAAGCAGGAGGGTCAAATTTATCCATGTACTTCGAGAAATTGTTTCATATTTATCCACAATATAAGCTGTGGAAGAAATATGCCCTCGTTGTTATCAGATATGGTCCTCCGAATGCAGATGCAACAACTCTTTATCAGAACACAAAATCCTACAACATTTGATGACCTGTACCATGAGTATAACTCATGATTTGAAAGGAAGTAATTCTATTGAGAACTTCGGAGATCAAATGGAACAAATACAAGAAAACTACCACTAAAAACAATATTTAAAAATTATGGAGGTGTAACTGGCATTTGTCTAAGATACAACAACTATATTAAGTTCTTTCCACTTGTCTGAGGAAAAAGGGTCATCATTATTGCTCTAGCAATTGGCAGAAGTCCTACAATAGCAATCAATAGTTGATCTGAGGTGCTTGTCCTAACTGTGATTTGCCCGCTTTTCTTGCTGTTTAATCCGGCCCTAACAGCAATCTTGGAATTCCTTCCAACAGAGAACTGAGATTGCAGATTGCATCCCCATATGAGATCGTTTCTCCATTTCATCAAAGAAAGGCCGAGTGAACTTTGGTCCTGTCCAACAGGGTAATCTTTCTCTCTCAGACGCAACTCTAAGTTGGCTCCATATGCTGCATTACCCTGAGACATGATGGTGCCAGTACTTCCCACCACAACTAACTGTTTACCAATGGAAAATTGGTCCTCCAATTTCAATCCCGTCACTAAAGTGTCACCCAAGAAAGTAATGGATATCCCTGCAGCTGTTTTATTCGTTTTCAGATTTTTCACTTTTGTTTCTCCCTTCAAAATGTAGGCAAGTTGCTTTCCTACAGTTTGAATGTCGAACCCTACCATACTTGATCCTTTCTTCCCCGTCTTTGCTGAAACAGATGAATCCAAGTGGATGTTGAACTCTTTCTTGTCCTTTGTGAGCTGAAGAACTATTACTGCAGGAAACTGGCCAGCAATGGCAAGGTGATCCTCAATGCTCACACCATCATATCCACAATCATGGTCCCAGCTCTGGGAGTCCATAACAGGCCTTGCAAGAAGTTGAGACGAAGGTTCTAGATACCGGTATCTGTAAGTTGGGTTGTCCCCGTCAAAAGAATTTGGGAGCACCATGTCGGGTAAAGGGATTGCTGCTCCTGCTTGGCTCCCTGTTTCCTGGTCAGCACCTTCTTCCATGTAATCACCTATCTCTGCCTTGCCTTTCTTCTTCATGTCCCGAAGCCTTTTTAACTCCTCCCTCCATTGTTTCTTCTGAAACAGCTTCACACGGTAATCATACTCGTCAAAATATGCTCTCTTCTGCTCCTTGCTCAGCTTAGCAATTTGAGATTTCCTCAAAGGTCTGAAAGGTGGAAGGTCATCGTAATCATCAACTTCTTGATCGGAATCAGATGAATGTACCAGCTCAATGTCTGAGCCTATATCCCCACCAACTTGATTGTTAGAGACTTTAGGATGAACATTTGATTGTAACAGTGAAGATAAAAAGTATGGTAAAGGGAGTGAACGCTTGGGGAAGCCAAAAAGCTTTCTGTGGTCATGAAGATCTTGATCTTTCATGATGGAATCTACTTCTGATAAAATCTTTATTGAGTAACACAGAAGCAGAAGCTGCGATCTCCAATTTTCTCCATTTGGAAGCAATATATCTCCTTTGTCATTCTTTGGACTGACTGGGTGGTTTTCAACAAGAGCAAATGGAAGACTCATCAACCCAGCATTCATCGTGTGTGGATCACCTATGGAGTGATCAATTAACTGTTGAATGATACGGGAGCACTGAGCAACAAACATTTCATAGCTTACAGGATGCCCCGAGGGTCCATCTGGAGGACTTGAAGCAGCATGTGTCAGGGTAACAATGGCATTACGCCATATTGATGGACCAAGATAACTACTGATGGACTTGAATAATGGTAAATCACCAAGATCTCTAGACTGTGTGTCAATGCGGTCGACATAGAGGACTACATCAGGACTGTATTTCTTCATATATTTCTTTATGGACAACAAAGTTCTTCGGTTAATGGATTGTTCTGTCAGGGAAGATCTGAAACCAGGAGTATCCAAGATGTTCAATGTAACTCCATCCAGTTGTCCAATTATCTCCTTCACATCGGTAGTCGCAGGTACAAATGCATCTACCATTGATTTGGCTTCACCAAAGATAGAGTTTATTGTTGCACTTTTACCAACTCCTGTTTTACCAATAACCAGGATATTCAGAGAAAAATTCAAACTGTCTGTATCCTCTGCTTCCAACTCTATAGCTACCTTCTGGTCAGAGTCAAGGCTCAATACTTGAGAGGCTGACTTCCCTGCAGCACGAACCAACCGGTATAAGACCTGTGCAGCTATGGAATCTTCAGGAGACCGGTTTAGCTTGTGGACGAGCCGCAAAAATGTTATTCTTAACTGCTGTAATTTCTCAAGCTTCTTCTTTTCTTCTTCAGACAAAATCACTTCTGATATACCTTCAGTCTTATTATCAGATAGGGGAAACTTATCTGCATTTGTTGGCTGACCAGGTCTGGACGAGTGAAATGAGGATCCCGGGGTATCAGGAAGCTCCAGAGAAGAAACCTGTGTACCATCAGCTGATGGAATTGAAACACTTCTACCTTCAGGCCCAACACCGGTAGCAGCCCTCAACAGCATAGCCAGTGCTTCAGCATCAAACATCTCATTCTCTTCACTCTCTTCGTCTGTATCTACCTCTTCAGCTAAGTCTGTCACAATCTCAGCATCAACCTTTGGTAAATGACCCTCAGAAACCTCTCCATCGTAGTCGGCATTGGCTATTTGTTGGTCCGACTGATCTATGATAAGTTTCATACCACCGGATCCATCAAAGGTCAAACTTTCATCATTTTCATGTAAGAATAGGGCTTCTTCATTTTTGAACAATTTGACTGTATCAATGTCTTTGCATTTAGCTTCTAAGTCTGGATTTAAACGAGCCTCCCTGTGTTGTGTTTTATCCGATAACTTAGGTAGATCATCTTCAGCTCTGGTGGACCAAGTTACATCTGATGAAGAATATACTTGTTCTTCAGCTGTTGATGGTACTGAAATATCAATGCACTCCAAGCTCTCAGCTTCACTATCCTTGATGGGTTCATGATAAGATTCGGTTTCGGTTCTAGTGGCAATATCCTGACAATCACTTCCTTGATAAACCCCATCCTCCTTACTTTCTGATTTCTGACTGTCCCCGGAAGCTCCAGTATGTAAGATGATGCTGTTTCCAGAGTTCAAATCATCGGCTCCAAATTTTGATACTCTATTTTCTTCCCTTGGGCTGGAGTAAGCAGTATCAGAAGGCTTAACACCACGAGACGAATCTGCACTTTTTGACTCTACACTACTATCAAGAATTTGACTTTCTTCTGCTAAAAGCATTTTATCATTGTCCAACTCTTGTCCCAACAAAGTAGATTCTTTACTTGCAACCTGATACAAATCTCTTCCTCCTTCTAAAGTATAATTGGCCTCACCTCCCTCCGTTATGAAATTCTGAACAGTGTCAATTTCAGCTTTATCATCTTCAATACTGTCGGAATCCAAAACCATCTCAACAGTTTTTGTAATGATCAAGTCCTCTTCCATCCCAGATTGTATCGCATTCTCAGACTCTGATTCATAATCCGAAAAATCGGAAATTCTAA